ATGGGGCGGAGGGCGGCTGCGTCTGGAGCGACGGCCTGCAGCAGGTGGGCACTTGTGGGGCGGCTGTGGGGTGATGGGGTGGCTTTGGGTTATGGGGTAGTTATGGGGCAGCTGTGGGGTTATGGGGTGGTTTTGGGGTTATGGGGCAGCTGTAGGGTTATGGGGTGGCTGTGGGATTATGGGGTGGCTGTGAGGCAGCTGTGGGGTTATGGGGTGGCTGGGGGGTGGCTGTGGGGTTATGGAGTGGTTATGGGGCAGCTGTGGAGTTATGGGGTGGTTATGGGGTGGCTGTGGGGTTATGGGGCAGCTGTGGGGTTATGGGGCAGCTGTGGGGTTACAGGGTGGCTGTGGGGTTATGGGGTGGCTGTGGGGCAGCGGTGGGTTTATGGGGTGGCTGTGGGGCCTGGGGGGCGGTTATGGGGTCTGGGGGGGAGTTATGGGGCACTTATAGGGCACTTTTGGGGCCTTTAGGGGAGATGTGGGGCGGTTATGGGGGCTGTGGGGGCCACGCCCCCCTTCCTCTCTGACCCCGCCCCCTCCTCTTTGCCCCGCCCCTTCTCCCTGGCCCCGCCCCTTTCCCGCATATAACCCCGCCCCCTTTGCCTCTGTCCCCGCCCCATTCATTATGGCCCCGCCCCCTCCATGGCCCTGCCACTTCATCCGGCCCCGCCCCCTCCTCATTTGCACCGCCCCCTCCTCTCTGGCCCCGCCCTTTTCCGGCCCCACCCTCTCCTATATAACTTTGCCCCCTTCTCCCTGCCCCCCTTTGCCCCCGCCCCCTCCACGTTGACTCCACCCCCTTTCTGGCACCGCCCCTTCCGCTTTGACCCCGCCCCTCTCCTTTTCCCCACTTCTCTCTGGCCCCGCCCCCTCTTCTCAAACCCCGCCCCCTCCCTTGTATCCTTGCCCCCTTCCGTCCAATCTCCTCTCTGGCCCCTCCCCCTTCCACTCAAACCCCGCCCTTTCTCATAAACCCCGCCCCTTTCTCCTCCACTCAAACCCCGCCTCGTTCCCTCAAACCCCGCCCCGCTCCTCCATGGCCCCGCCCTTTTCCTCTGACCCCGCCCCACTCCTCCACGGCCCCACCCCCTCCCTCAAACTCCACCCCCTACTGCCTTACCACGCTTCCTCTCAAACCCCGCCCCCTTCCCCCTGGCTCCGCCCCTCAGTGCCTCAGCCCCGCCTTCACCCCGTGGCGCTGCGCCGGGGGCGGGGGCTGCGGTCGGCTGCGCCGATTGGTGGAGCCGAATGAGCGACAGGGGGAGGAGCCAACAGAGCGCCGCGGGGCGGAGCTTTGTGCCGCCAGCTGCCAGGGGGCGGGGCATTGCGCCGCCTGTCTGCGGATGCCAGGCTGCGGTTGGTGTGCTCCGCCCGGGGGGCGGGGCCAAAGAGGGCGGTGCTTGGAGGGCGGGCCGGCCGGACCTGCAGGAGGTGAGGGGCGGGGCTTAAGGAAGGGGGCGGGGCTTAAAGGAGGAGTTATAAATGGAGCGGGTGGGGTTAAGGGGCGGGGCTTATGGAATGCTTTGTAAATCGGAGGGGGCGGGGCTTAAGCAAGGAGGCGGGGCTTAACGGGTTGTATAATAAAGTGGGTGGGGCCTAAGGGAGGGGGCGGGGCTGATTGGCTGGGTGGTAAAACGGAGTGGGCGGAGCTTGAAGGGGGCGGGGCTTATGAGAGGGTTGTAAAATGTAGTGGGCTGGCCTTGAGGAAGGGGGCGGGGCTTAAGGGAATGGGAGGGGCTTAATAAAAGAAGGAAGATTGTACAATGTGGGCGGGGCTTAAGGGTTGGGTGGCGGGTGGAGTGGGCGGGGCTTAAGGAAAGGGGCGGGGCTTATTGGAGTGATTGTGTGGGCGGGGCTTGGAAGGGGCGGGGCTTAAATTGCGGTTTTGAAATGGAGTGGGCGGGGCTTGAGGAACGGGGCGGGGCTTAAAGGGACGATTGTAAAGTGGTGTGGGTGGGGCGTAAGGAAGGGGTGGGGCTTAGAGGAAGGGTGGCGAATGCAGTGGGCGGGGCTTCGAGGGGGCGGGGCCTAAATGGGGGCCAATCGGGCCCCACTGCTGACGTCACCGCCTGCATCCCCCCCCCAACACAGGGCTGAGCTGCGGCCGGGGGGCAGAATGGAAATTCCTGCGCTGCCCCCAGGAGGGGGGGGGGACGTGTGGGGCTGGAGCCAGGTGAGCGGGAGATGGGGGGCGATGGGGATCTGTGGGTCGCTGTGGGTCACTATGGGTCACTATGGGTCTCTGTGGGTTGCTGTGGGTCTCTATGGGTCGTTATGGATTTCTGTGGGTCGCTATGGGTTGTTATGCATTTCTGTGGGTCACTATGGGTCGCTATGGGTCACTATGGGTCGCTGTGGGTCGCTATGGGTCGCTATGGGTCTCTGTGGGTCTCTGTGGGTCTCTATGGGTCTCTATGGGTTTCTATGGGTCTCTATGGGTCGCTATGGGTCTCTATTGGTCGCTGTGGGTCTCTGTGGGTTTCTATGGGTCGCTATGGGTCTCTATTTCTCTCTGCCCCCCCAGCTCTCTCTGCCCTGGACGCTGTGACAGCAATGGACGCTGCAGGCGCTGTGCTGACAACACTCAGGTGGGGCTCGATGTGGGGCTGGTGGGGGCAGCTATGGGGCAGAGTGTGGGGCAGTTGTGGGGCAGCTATGGGGCTGGACGTGGGTCTGATAGGGGACAGATGTAGGACAGCTATGGGGCTGGATGTGGGTGAGGTGGGGGCATCTATTGGGCATTTGTGGGCTGCTATGGGGCTGAATGTGGGTCTGGTGGAGGCAGCTATGGGACAGGTGTGAGGCTGGGTTCTATGGGGCAGGCTGTGGGGCAGCTATAGGGCAGGGTGTGGAGGGATATGGGGTGGGGTGTGGGGCAGCTGTGGGGCTGGATGTGGGATCTTTGGGGCAGCCTATGGGGCAGCTATGGGGTGGCTGTGGGTCCAGATCTGGGATCTGTGGGAATCTGTGGGGCAGCTTATGGGGCAGCTGGGGGGCAGCTGTGGGTCTGGATATGGGATCTGTGGGGCGGCTGTGGGGCCTGTGGATCTGTGGGGTTTCCCTATGGGGCCCTGTATGTCCCCATGTGTCCCTATATACCCCTATAGTTCCCTATATGGCCCTGTATGTTCCCATGGCCCTGGATCTCGCCATAGGGCCACATATGGCCCCATAAGACCCTGTATGGCCCCATAAGCCCCTATATGGCCCCACATGGCCCCATATGGCCCCATATGGCCCCATAAGCCCCTATATGGCCCCATATGGCCCCATAAGCCCCTATATGGCCCCATATGGCCCCATATGGCCCCATAAGCCCCTATATGGCCCC